AAGGTACTATGTATTTTTTTTTTTTTTTTATAGTGAATAATAGTTATAGCTCTTTTATGGAAATAGGTGGCGAGGTTAAACCACACTACAAGAAAATAAACCTATAGCTATGGACAAAATCGTAGTTATAAACAAAAAAACTGTAGCTATAGGTCTATAGCTACAGATTAACTACGGTGAGAAAACAGTAACTACAGTCGCAGTGGCTATAGTTAATAGCTACGAATGCTAGTATCTGTAGCTAAAACTAACTTATACCTACAAATTTGACTCTATAGTAGCTAAGTGTCGCTCTATAGGTATGGTTTCGAAGTGCCCAAAGCTACAACATTTAGATCTATAATTACGGTTTTGAGATGACCATAGCTATAAATATGAATCTATAGCTACACGTTACTTTATCCGTAGCTAAAATTAAAAAAACTATAACTACGAGCTTAGGTTGTCTGTAGCTAAAATGAGAACCTATAGCTACGGTCTAAGCAGTCTATAGCAAAAAAAAAACATGAATCATAGCTATGATTTTTAACTATTCGTAGCTAAAATTGTTGATATATGGTTGATGACACTTTTTGCTTGTATCAAATACAAGCACAACATATTCCATTCATAATATAAGATGAAATTTGAATGCAAATTTCCAATAAAGAAATGGATTACATCCATGTGTTTAAAATCTATTACAAATTCAAGGTTCTTGAATACATGAAACTAAATTGGTGTTCAACCGCACATGTAAAGTATTTCCTTTAGCATGTTTAACATATAAGAAAATAATTTAAAAATCACATTTTTAGAAATAAAATCATGTATGAAAATCTAATCATTAACTATGCAATATAAATTTCATTCCATGCCTAATGCTTAAACAAATTAAAAGTACAAGGATTGAATATCAATCACAAATTATGCATTGAGCAATATAATGGCATGGCAATGTGTATTAATTTTTTCCAATAAATAATTAAAATCAAGTAGAGGACTTAAAAAAAACATCAATAATCTACAATTGGAGGTGGACTTTTTAAGTGCACAAATGAGAGAAAAAAACGATTGAGAGAGGAACTTCAAAAGGAAATGATAAAGCATCTGCAAAGATAAAGTGCTTAATGGGTCAGGTCAATGATCTGAAATTGAAACTAGACTCTTCACAATAAGCCCAGAAAAATGACTTAGATTCATAGTTGGACAAACAAAAGCATGATGCTTTGAAGTTTCGGACAAAAATAGAAAATTTGAACATTGAATTAGAAAACTAGTCCGGGGATCAAGTGGAATTGTTCTAAGAGAAGTTGAAACTTCTCCATAAGCAACTTAGTTCTGAGTTCCAACAAGGTCCCTTGTGTTGTGGAGATTTCATGCAAGGCAAAATTGTTCCAATTCATTCAATCTGGAAATAGTACATATACAAATACATACAAAATATAAGGTTTTGCACTCTATATAATTGTATTTGTATCTCTTATGCTCAATTTGGGAAGAGTACAAATGCAAATAGTGCAAAACCTTATATATGGTATTTCTAAACTGTACATATTTGTAATTGCATTCTTTCCCAAACCGAGTCTTAAGAAAAAGTTCCTTTTTTTTTGTACTAGTTCTGACTTACTTAGGAAAGACAGGTTTAACAAAATTTCCTGATTCTTAGTAAAACAAGATTCACATTTCATTGTATCTCCTTAAGCAGAGTTCAAACTTGCTGGAACTCTAAAATTAATTCTAAGTTAAGTTTTCTACTACTAATGTTTTCCCTATGAAGAATTAGAAACTTGAGGACATCATACATGATTCCAAAGAGAATCACCCGATTGTATTAGAACACATCAAACTTCCTCCAATGCAATAGGACACACCATGGCAAAAAGAAAGTTTTGTATGAAACCTTTGTATTCTTTTATATTATCAAATAACTCAGGTTCTACTCACACACACATACGCGCGTGCACACACATATATAAATTTGCTAAGCCTGATTACATGGACAAAATAACCAGGCTACAAATTCTATGACCTTCCGTTTGAGGCTTTTAGGCATGTTGCAGCTAGTCCCAACTAGATCCTATAAGGTAGGACAGCATGTGGTGGACCTTGGTCACAACTCATCTAAGCCTACCTATTGGTTATGGTTAAGGAAATCCAATGACCTCTAAATCTGAAAATTTTCCTATGGTTTGCAATTCTTAACAGAATTCCAACAACTGATCATCTTTTCTCAAGAGGGCTAGGTATTGATAATGAGTGTGCCTTTTTCTAGTCTAAAGTTGAAAATGTGTCTCATTGATTAATATAGTGCCCAATTTGTTACTGTGCTTAGTGTCTCTTGTCTCTTCCTATAGCTTTTAAGAGTAGCCATGGTCATGCTAGTAGACCTGGCTTCTTTATGAGGGTTGCAGGGGTTCGAGAGTCTTAGTGATGAAGTGCTCGGGATTTTTTTGATGATCCTCCAATGCAAATATGACCCCCTATTTATGGAGAACATACCACGATCCTAAAAGGTAGGAGATGAGGATCTTTGTTCCGTTCCAGGAAAGAGAATATATTATTCATTGGCAATTATTGGGCACGCTGCTAGGCATCGCCACGTGGTCCATGAAGACATCCTCAAGGATTAACTTTCCTTATCCATGAGATCCCTCATTACTCACGTGTGCTACAACCTTTTGTGCACTGTGACTAATCCTATGTGGAGGCGATGATGTCATGTACTGTGGTCGGTATTCATTAATGCCATGTGGCAATCCATAAAGTGCTTCTCTATGACGGATTTGTGTGTGTTTGGGCAACCACACCCAGGTCTTGCCATAAGCTTGACCCATTATCCTTCCTGACCCGCTGTCCGAGGTGGGTTCGCGGGCTTATTGTGATTCTGTTTAGTATGCTACGGGTTTATTGTAATGGTTATAATAGACCGTAGGTTAATCGCAGTGTGGGGATTGACTGTGGATTGCTTGTATACATTTATGTGGTGTTACTCTTGGTACTTGGGTACTCTTTAAAGGGTTTGAGTGAGTGTGGGGCGAAATCGACGCCTAACATGGTTCGGCGATGGTTACTGATGTGGCTTGCTGTTTAAATCAATGCCCCTCGCTAGTCCCGCCCTCCAAAGGGTATTTGGGTAATTCTACAAGATTTCATGTATTCTATGTAATGCGTCGTATGTTGCACGGGCGTCCGTTCATCTGTGCCGGTGCCGCTTGTTCCGCCATGCATGTTAGTGTCGGAAAGCCTTCATAAGACAAGGGAAAGCAAATCCTAGGAGTTCTTTTCGCCTACAATTTGTGCTTAAGGATCTCTCTGTTCAGTGCGCCCTTAGATCTCGCTTTGATTTCTATCCATGGCTCCGCATCACCATCCGAATGTTAGGGTCACCAAGGGTCAAAAGATAAGGAAATCGGAGAAAATGGTTGGATGTCCTTCTATTGATTTTTTTAGGACGGTCGATATGGCGGAAATGCTATCGGAAAAGGAAATTGCCTTAGTTGCTATGGGAGAACAGGGATTCTGGCCCCCGGTTCTAGTGGCAAGGGGCGTAGAGGGTATATTCCATCCTATTTAGGGGAACGAATTGTTATGCCTTTGTGGTCAATCTGATCAATCTGTCCTACAAGTGTTAGGAACCTAGGACCAACAACTCGAAATCCCCGAGCAGCTATACGGCATGTGCAGAGTTTGTTCTTAAGAACCTTATGTACTGTTGGATGTTGCAGGATTCTGGCTTGTTCAGGCTCATTGATTGCTATACGGGCTTGTCTGGTAGGGAAGGTGTGAAATATGTAGGTCGTCTGCTGGAATTGTGGTGTTGCCATACTCACACGTTCGTTGGGGCTTTCGAGGAATTCACGGTAACAGTCGAGGATGCAGCTGCTTTATTGGCATTACCCGTTGGTGGTGCTCTGTCCGCTCACCATCTGCAGCACATCGAGTCAGTCCCGACGGATTACAGAGAACTGTGCGATGAATTTCTCCATGCGGTGGGTTTATTCAAAGTGCAGGAAGATCAGGCCACGTCTCGTGGGAAGATGTCGTTGGATCATTGGATAGAATTTTGGTTCGAATCTCACGGCAGACGCGGTGTAATGGTGAGGGGTAGGGATAACCAATGCCATCTCGCGGCATTTATTCTGTATGTGGTGTCCCGATTACTCTTCCCGGGTCCCCCAGACTACGAGCTGCATATCTCCTTGGTGCCCCTTGCCGTCCTTGCCGCAACCGGCCATCAGCTTCCCCTGGCTTCCATGTTCGTGGGGTATCTGTATGAGCAGCTAGATGACACCGTGAAGGAGTTGGTGGACCCGAGTTGCAAGCATCGGGTCAGCTATCTCTGTGCGCCATTCCTTTTGATATACCTGTGTGAACAGTTCGAGCTTGCGATTACCCCACGCCAACTCGCACGCTTTAGGGTTCCAGTGGTGGCTCTACATGGGGACGAGTCCGAGTATACGACTTTTGAAGTCTGTAGGGGGAAGCGATGGTTGCAGGCTGCCCACCATAAGAGCTTGAGGATGACTGAGATCAGCATCCAATTGGCTTCCTTAAGCGGGTTCAAGTGGAGTCCTTATCGCCAACTAGTTCGCAACACTATGCTGTTTTGTGTTGGTGCACCTGTTCCTAGTGACGCGGTTGGTTACGTGGACGTGAGTACATTTGCGGCGGGCATAACACGGTTGGTTACGTGGCCCGGAGTTATAGCTTACCTCGATCGCAATGGTGAATTGTAGCTAGCAGTAGTATATCGCCCAGATCGGGAGATGCGTCAGTTTAGGTACGATAACCTGGGTGGGTAGTTTCTACAGGCTACCGGGGAAGATGTGTTCTAGACTCGTCAGCACGATCGTGCCTTCCCGGTTTACTCATGTTTGCTAGTTGCTGGTTTCTTCAGGGAACCAATGTGCAGGGCCCTGCAATTGTCATATCTTTGTGCATTGCTGACGGGCTTCCAAGAGGTGGTCAGGAAGGCCTGCAGGCCTTGTCATTCCCTAGCGCCTCCGGAAGATCATGCCACCAGCCAGGGTGCTATCCCTGTTTTTGTCACGATGAGTTCATCGGGAAGGGATGTAAACAAGTGCAAGAGGGGTCCGCTGGTGTTAGAAAGGGGGAATAGTAGTCGCCCACTAGTTACCAAAAGGGCGCAATCTGCAAGGGTATCCCGTCCATCACAACCTGGGAATGCGCTAAAGCCTCCTATTGTCGATCTATCTCATGTATCCACTGACAACCAGGAGGTCCAATTAGCGACATCCAAGGGGGCAGTCGCGCTGGTCAAAGAGTCAGGGGAATTACCGCTTTCGATTCCTCCTACCACGGGGGCCATCATCCAATTCTCGAGTGGGCGAATAAAGAAGATGGTTCCTCCGCACTCGACATGAAAGTGATGATCCGATAAGCCCCCTTTGACGAATATAATTTATCGTCCTGTTATGTTTGAAACAAAATTTTTGCTAATCTGCTCAATTTCGTTATTGCAGCCAATGGAGACTGTATGTGGGCGGACTGTCAGTGAAGTCTTAGTGAGCTCTTCGGAACAGTTGGCGGGGAGCCCGATCGGCTCCCACGATGGGGAAGGTTCGGTGTGTATGTGAACCTGTGCCTAGAACCCTTGTATTTGTTGTATGGCATGAGGACTAACTATGGGGTTGTCTTTAATACTAAAGCGAGTAGATTGCAGTGAGGCTCGACCCAATGAAGATGGTTGTCGGGGGCGATGAGATGGATCACAGCGTGAGTTTTTGTTGTTTTCTCGTTGACCCTCTTTTCTCTCTCTTCTTTTGGGTTTTGATATGTGTTTGTTAGACTGATTAGTTGCATTTGATTCACTACAGTGCTCATTTACCGAGCAAGTCGACAGTGATGCAACCTCCTAGGGCGGAATCCACGGGTGGTATATAGAGTGGTGGTGGCGATGAGGGTGTCTGTGATGTGGCGGCATCGGCGACGCCTCAGGTTGGGCAAACGATGGTGAGCTCGGGTTTTGCGAGCTCCTGGGAATGTTGAGGGAAGGGAGACGACGGCCGACAGTGACAATGTTTCTCCTCGACCTGAGGTTGTCGGTGATTTGGAGCATCATTCTAGGAACGAAGAGGCGAATCCAGAATTTATTCTTCCTTGGGAAGAATTATCGAATGAAGAAGAGCTGCTCCGGATACAACAGCAATTGTTGGGGGTACTACGACTAATATGGTGGCGACTTTAATGAACTATCGTGGTCCTGGATGGAAGCCTGCTGGGCTTTTGCATCAATGGGCTTCCGTCCGTATAGGTCGGATCGAAAGACGTATTGGTAGTGTTGGCATATGCGTTTTGGAAAGCCAGCTGGGATATTCCTCAGGTAGACCACCTATTCCGTTCCATGAAGGACATCCGAGACCATCGCAAGGTTGGTTTTCAAGGCCAGCGTGAAAAGGGTTATAGAGAAGCTCCAGGTATTGGCTAACAGAGTTGTCTTGATATTAAACATCGTCTAGTGTGTGTAGAGCAATGATGGGTGGTGGGGCAGGGGCATCAACACTCGTATTTGTAAAAGGAAACCGATTGACCAATATTATAGTTTCGCAATCAATGCAAAGATGGGGGGTTACTCAAGCCCGTCGCAGACGATCTACTCAGCGTTCAATCGTAACATAAATAGTTAACTCGAGTTAGAACTATAACACCACTATGTCTGGGGATGAAATGTTAATCGTCAGCGAATTTGTTGTTGTTAATGCGAGCGAAGCTCCTCTTCCTTAAAGTTCATCATGGTTGGATAAAATACCCGTGTTTACGAATTGTGCCTGCCTTGTATTACCAAAATGTTGTCTCCGCCTAGGGTCGCCACCCACGTTTATCTCTCTGCCTGGGGTTACCGGGGCCTTACTATGCTTGGGGTTGCCACGTCTTTTTCTACCCCTGGGGTTGCTAGGGCTTTCTCTATGCCTAGGGTTGCCAGGTCTTTCTTTGTACCTTGGGTTGGGTTGCAAGGGCTTTATCTGTGCTTGGGATCACCGGGGCTTTACCGTGTCTGGGGTTGCTAGGGCTTTGTCTATGCCTCGGGTGTCGGGGTTTATTCAGATGCTTGGGGTGTCCAGGGCTTTGAGTGAGTGCTTGGGGTGCCAGATTGCCTAGGGTGTTCGGGGCTTTTAGAGATGCCTGGGGTACCAGGGCTTATTGTTGAGGTGCCTAGGGTGTTCAGGGCTTTGTAGAAATGCCTGGGGTGTCGGGGCTTATCGCTGAGGTGCCTGGGGTGTTTGGGGCTTTGTAGAGATGCTTGGGGTGTCGGGGCTTATCGTTGAGGTGCCCGGGGTGTTAGATTGCCTGGGGTGTCCGGGGCTTTGTAGAGATGCTTGGGGTGTCGGGGCTTATCGTTGAGGTGCCCGGGGTGTCAGATTGCCTAGGGTGTCCGGGGCTTTGTAGAGATGCTTGGGGTGCCAGGGCTTACCATTGAAGTGCTCGGGGTGCCAAATTGCCTGGGGTGTCCGGGGCTTTGTAGAGATGCCTGGGATGCCAGGGCTTATCGCTGAGGTGCCCGGGGTGTCCAGGGCTTTGTGCCCGGGGTGCCAGATTGCCTGGGGTGTCCGGGGCTTTGCAGAGATGCTTGGGGTACCGGGGCTTATCGCTACGATGCTCGAGGTGTCTAGGGCTTTGTGCTCGGGGTGCCAGATTGCTTGGGGTGTCCAGGGCTTTGTAGAGATGCCTAGGGTGCCGGGGCTTATCACTGAGGTGCCCAGGGTGTCTAGGGCTTTGTGCCCAAGGTGTCAGATTACCTGGGGTGTTTGGGGCTTTGCAGAGGTGAGAGATATATATACATGCAGTTATATAAGCGGAACAAGCGCATATGCTCTTAGCATTTATCATCATAAGAAAAGGAATCCAAAGGCACACATCATAGATTTATTTCAAAGCAAAGAATGCACATGCGTACAAAACATCTATCATGACAAGAGACCATAAGAAAGAGAATCTGAAAGCACATGTCATAAATTTATTTCAAAGCAAAGAGTGCACATAGCACATGTCATAAATTTATTTCAAAGAAAAGAGTGCACATGTGTTCAAAAACATGGTTACTCAAAGTAAGGTTTCAACCAGTAGCCATTTATGGCTTCATCGTCGTCACCCATGTCTACGGTTTTAAGCGCATAGTAACCCGACTTGTAAGCTTCTTTTATCAAATAGGGCCCTTCCCATGTCGGTGCAAACTTTCCTACAGATCTGCACTGTATAACGTTGAAGGCTGTCTTCAACACTTTGTCCCCCTCATTGAAGCTTCTAGGTCGTAGGTGTCTGTTGAAGTTAGTTGCTAATGCTTGTTTATATTAATTTTGGTTTTCTGCCACTCTATCTCTTATTTCATCAACCACCTCTAGTTTGTTTGCCAGCAAATTATCTAGGTCCTCTAGTCTGATCTTTTTGCCCATTATCACAGCTACCCTGGCAGACATGGCTTTGATTTCGGCTGGGAGTACGGCCTCTTGCCCATAGACTAAAGAATAGGGTGTCACTTGTGTGCTTTCCCTGATCGTCGTGCGATAAGCCCACCATGTTTCTAATAGCTTCTCTACCCAATCTTTCTGTTTGTCAGCTATTGTTTTGCTTAGCATTCTTAGCAACGTCTTGTTCATAGCCTCCACCTGACCATTGCCTTGGGGGTAGTACGTCGTCGATGTCCCTAATTTCCCCCTGTATTGCCCTAGAAGGTTACAAACCTCTTGGTTTTTTATGGACAAGCCGTTATCGGTTATTATCCGCATCAGTACCCCAAACCTGTGGACAATGTTTTGTTGCAGAAAGTTCGCAATGTTAGCGGCACAAATCCGTCGCAAGGGAACGACCTCTGCCCATTTAGTGAAATAATCTGTTACGACAATAATGAAGCAATACCCCTTTGAGGGCGGGTGTATCTCTCCTATAAGGTCTACCCCCATGTCTGAAAGGGCCAGGGTGTGATAATAGGGTGCAGGGCATTGGTGGGTTTGTGGATCCTCTCTGCGTAAATTTGACACTTATGACATCGACACACGTGCCGTTGTGTGTCCTCCATCATAGTTAGCCAATAGATGCCAAGATGCAAGATGTGGTTGTATAGGGCAAGTTGGCCTTGGTGAATCGCAGGCTCAAAGTCGTGGGTTGTTTCCAAGATGTCATCAATTTCTTCGCCAGTCAAACATCATAGAGGTTTGCCCGTGTAAGACTTCCTGTACAATATCCCGTCTTAGAGGTAAAATCTCTTGATTCTGGACAACAACTTCCTCCACAACCGAATATCAATGGGAAGTGTGTGTTCTTGTAAGTAATCTATGTATATCTTCCTCCAGTCTTCATCACAAATCACTAAGCACTCTTTGTTATCTATCTGTGGAATGCACTTATCACACTCTGTTGTACTCTAGTCAAATCCCACCTCATTGTTGGCCAATAATACCCCAACCGTTGTAATTTGTGGAACAGGGGACTCATGACTACTCTACAGGTAGCCTTGTGAATCTTCTCCAACTTGGCATCGACCTCCTCCTTACCTAGACACCTTGTCCTGACACCATTGGATTCTTGATGATATAATACCCCATGCACCAATTGATACTTCACGATCAGCTTTATATCTTGAGTTCCCATGGTCTGACCCTTTTGTTTCTGTATCACCTCATATCTCCAATCATTGGATGTTATCTGCTTTCGTCTTCTACTTGCTCCCTCAAGGTAACGGATTGACTATCTGTCGACTGTTTGGATGGTGATTTCTATCAGCTCAGGACTAGCTCACATCTTCGATCCTAACGTAGCTAAGGCATTAGCAAACCTATTCTTGACCCTATTTTGGTGTTCTAAGCGTATGTCTAGGTCATGAACTAATTTTTGTATCAAGGTCCTATAAGGTAAGATGGTGAGTTCTTTTACTGTCGTACTTCCGTCGAGCTGCCTAATCACTAGCTTCGCATCACCGAACACTCTTATCCTCTTCGCACTAGCTTCAATTGCTTTTATCAGGCTGAGAACCAACTCTTTGTACTTCGCTATATTGTGTGAAAAAGGAAACTAGAGTTTAAATGAAAAGGCCAAAGTTTGCCCATCATGGGAAGTTAGGGTTACTCCGGCGCCAATAGAGGTACTTGTGCTACTTCCGTCGAAGGTTAGGATCCACTCACTACTTTCTGCCAAAGCGACCATGGGCAAGTCTTTGGGGATTTCTTCTAATATAGGGAAGTCAGAAGCAGATGGGAAAATGGCTAGTAGGTCGGTGGCGGCTTGACACTTGACAGCTTTGGGCTGTGTATACCCTATATCATAATCACTAAGCTGGATCATCCATTTCACGAGCCTGCCGGAACAAGGGTGGTCTATCCATAAAGAACTTGATCGGGTCGCTTTGTCGATGAGCTTCACCTTTTGCCCCAAAATGTAATGCCTAAATTTCTATGTGGTGAAGACCAAGGCCAAACATTGTTGTTCCATGTGGGAGTAGTTCTTCTCTACAACTTTGAGGGTTCTACAGGCGTAGTAGATGGGGGTTTCTATTTTGTTTTACTCTTCCTGTGCCAACAGGCATCCTATGGCTTCTGATCTTGTCGCGATATACATCCTGAACTCTTGCCCCTCTTTGGGGGCCTCATCGCGGGTGCTTTGGCCAGTGCTTGTTTCAATCGTTCAAAAGTGTCTTGGTTTTCTTGAGTCCTTTTGAACTCTGCGGCTTTCTTGACCAACTTCATTAGTGCTAAGGCCGCGTGTGCGAGGCCGGGGATGAATCTCCTTAGATAGGAAACCTTCCCAAGGAAAGTCTTTAGCTGGGACTGAGTTATTGGTGGCGGCAAGTCTAAGATGGCTTTAACTTTGTTCTCATCTAGGTGTATCCTGGCTTGATCTACTTGGTAACCTAAGAACTTGCCTGACTATACTCTGAATGAACACTTCAATGGGTTCAACCTCAGTTTGAACTCTCTGCACCTAGTAAATATTTTCCTCAAGACTTCGGGATGCTCCTCCTTCTTCTTGGTTTTGACAACTCTGTCATCCACGTAGCACTCTATTTCCTTATGGATCATATCATGGAAGACGCTAGTCATCACCCTCTGGTAAGTGGCCCTTACATTCTTCAACCCATAGGGCATTATTTTATAGTAGAAATTCCCTATTGGTGTCCTGAAGACTATGTGAGGGGCATCCTTGGGGTCCATAAAGATTTGATTATACCCACTGTAAGCATCCAGGAAGGAAAAAAGTTCATGCCCCGCCATTGAATCTATTAGTACCTCCATATTAGGAAGGGGGGATTCATCCTTGGGATAGGCCTTGTTCAAGTCTCTAAAGTCGACACTACATCTTAGTTGCCCATTCTTCTTCTTTACTGGAACTACGTTGGCTAGCCACTGGGGATGCGCTATGGGCTTGATGAATCCTACCTTCAGAAGCCGCTCTATTTCCTCCTTGATTTTTAGTGTTACTTCTGGTTTAAAGACTCTTTGTGGTTGTTTCACTGGCTGAAATTTTGGGTCTATGCAGAGAGAGTGGTGGACCAGTTCTAGGTCAAGTCTCGGCATCTGGTCGTA